TGAAGGCTCGGTTGGCATTTACCTCCGTAGGATCAGAAGGGCTGACCGGTTGTTTCAGCCGGATGGATTAGTGCTGAGTCACAGCTGTTTGTCTGCGGGAAGCAGGCGAACGGGAGCTTGAATTCAGCCGATCCAGGTTCAGTGTGTGTTCTGAGAGGCCCAGACTGCTCGTCCCAGATCCACGTCAGCTCAGCATTGCCTAGTGATCCTGTTAGACATCCTGATGAAAATGTTTCCCTCAGATTCTTCTTTGAGGCAGGTTTTGCTTCTGTGTGTGTATGTGTGTGTCTTTTTAAAATTTTTAAGAAATTTTGAGACAGAGTCTCACTAAGTAGCTGAGGATGGCCTTGAACTTGTGATTCTCCTGCCTTATCTTCTCCAATAGCTGGGATTACAAGAAAAAAATATATATATATATATATATAGTGCCTGGCTCAAAACAAGTGCTTAGTGAATTAGCATTTTTATAGTATGTGTTCAAGACACAAAAGCCCAGAAACAGGAAAAGAGATAGCAGAGATTTAGTTAGAGCTGAAAAGTTTAAAGCAAATCATTTTTTTTTAACACTTTCTGAAATTAAAGAAGCTATTCTTGGTCATGGAGCTACAAAAATTAACACGTTTCTTTACTAAAAGATTACAATTATCCCCTTAAATGGAACTCTGTCTGATATCAATATTAATTATATATATCATTGACAATGTAAAAAATGCCTCTATCAGATGAAAAAAATCCCCTGAAATAAATATAATAACTTTATAAACGTTTGTTAACTCACATAGCAAAGTTATGGATGAAATTAGTTCAATATGTTCCCAAACTCTCTTTATCAGCAATTCTAGAAAAATTGTGTGTAATTCATGGTACAAGCAAAGTTCCCTAAACAAGTATATTAAAGTCCAGCACATCTTTAAAAAACTGCTGGAAAAGAGGCACAGTGTTGACTATTTGCATTGCAAGGAAACGTAAGTGTACAACAATGCCTAACATGCCCTCTGCCGACCTGCCTCATCATCTAAGATGCTGATCCACTTGGCTACTAGTCTATCCCAACACACTGTAAGGAAAGGCATGAGCTCTGGAGCCAGCAGTAGGGAATTATAAGGAGGTATGTGGGAGAAAATGAAGACTCAGTGACCAAGAGTGATGGGGCACAAGAGAAGCCCTGTGGAAAATGAAACATTAGGCCTAATCTAGGGAGTAGGAGTGAATACATTGTATGCACTTGTACATACCATAAGGATAAGGTAGGCTCTTGTCTATTTGAATCCCTCTATTCAGTACCAAGAGTCTTATCAACATCTGAAAATCCCATTGATGAGGTTCGCTGGATGACCCCCACATTCTTGCTCCCTGGTCTCTTTTCAGTGTGACTGAAGGTCATTGTGCTATTCTTGGTCTCTACCAAGGGTGGGGTGATTGGTTTCTGGGAGGGCTCTGACAAAGGATGGGAATAACCCTGGAGGAGTGGGTGGGGAGACAGGATGAAATTCTAGGCCCTTAGCTTCTACACTATTAACAATTTTAAATTAACATCTACCATCTCAGAAGCAATGCCGTACTTGAAACTGTCATTTTAACCAGACAAATTATAGAACTACATTATTAATCAAGCTTTATATTCTGGCATTTAATCTTGCAGAAAAAGCAGTGGAAAATATAATTTATTCAATGGTGTAATACCATTTGCCAATAATCATGTACAAATATGAAAAAGGTGTAAACAGAAGTTACTTTAAATTATATCTTGTTATGTAATTTACATCAGCCAAATCATCTGATTTATAGTTCCATGAGTCAAGAGTTTAAGAGTGGACACTAGAATTTAGAAGTGACTCCAAAGACATCGTTTCCCTATTTCTTCTTCTTTTTGATTGAGACATTGACAAAGTGGTTAAGAGTAAAGATTTTAAAATAAAATTTGAGATGGACCCCGCCCCAGATTTGCAATTACTAAGTTTTAAGCTCTCTGTCCTCAGGCAACTTTTACTTAACTTTTCTCACCCTCAATAATTCTGTTTGTAAGAGGATGATTATATGACCACCCTATAGTGTTGTTCAGATAAATTTAACACTATATGAAAAAAGTTTGCTATGGTGCTTTCAATTAATACATACTCAAAACAGAAATTTCTGTTACTCTGGAGTTCACAAAGATCTTCATGAAATAGCTACGTGTTCAAGACTAGAATTCTAGCCCCTATAATTTAGACATACAAAAGATATTTTATTAATTATTTCACCTCAGAAATAAAAGAACCAGAGTGTTGGATCAAGAAGCTTGGATCCTACTCAACACTACCTGTATTGGCTTGGAGATAAAGCCAGGAATCAAAGTTTTTGATTACTTGTTTAACTAATAAAAAGTTTGACATTTCTTCAGAATAGACAAATAGGAAAGGAATAGGGTCATTTCAAAACAAGTAGGTAACTATGTCTAGAGTCAGGATCAAGGTAGCTTTAGATACAGGGGGGTGTAGAGAAGTTGCACATATTTTATGTATGAATAAATACATGGCCAAGGGATCCATCAAAATGTTTTAGCTTCTTTTGGTTTAGGGATGCATCTCTAGAAAAGAGAGGAATGAGAATTCTTAGGAAGAGGATCCTTTAAAACACAGACCTGAGACAACTGAAATAAGAAGATTCCATGTTATTAACAAGCACTTTCCTTTTTGGATTCCTCAATCTCACCACTGAGTGACACATGGAAAGGTCATTTCTTAAACAGGTGAAATGATGACGAAGAAGGTAAAAGAAGTTCACAGTAGTTGATCCAATTTCCTGACATGGAAAACCCCAAACACTGTCTAAAATTCCACCAGAATTGCAATTTACTTCTTTAAGGTTATCTATGACGTGAGGTAAATCTAAACTTACGACATCAGTTTTTCTTTTCTCTTTCCCTCACTGCCTATCTTTTTCTTTTTTCTTTTCTTTCTTTCTTTATTTTTTTGCTTAAGCAATCCTCCCTAGAGAGGCATCACCATCCTTTCAAATACACTTATGAAGAGATGACTTCAGTAACTTGGCAAAACTTCAAAAGAGTATTGCAATTTGAGAATAATGCCATTGTTACTTCTCCTTTTCTTAAAAAAAAAAAAAAGTTTCTTTTTGTCTCAATAGAATGGCTCCTCCTGTCTCCTTCTCTACTCCCAATAAGTAAATAAGAATTCTACCTCAGATGAAAAGAGGTTAAACAGGAGAAAAGATAGATAAGAAGTGACTACAAAGAAGCAGGCAGGTCTGCCAAAGTGAAAGGAGCCTGGGTAGAAGAGAATTTGCAAAGGGAAAGGCTGTGTTGGGATAACTCCAAATTCCAAATTTTAGATACGCTATCCAAGGGTTGGACTTGTTTTGTCTGGTCATACATTCGTATCCCTTGACTTTCAACATGTCTGGTAGAACGTTCTAGATTAACTAATGACCTATTTAAAGTTTATATATGGGAACCCCACAAATATAAACATAGTTCATATGCTTCTACTACTGCATTTCCCAAACTATGGGCAAGGTGTCTCCAAGCACCACAGAATACCCATAGAAGTGGACAAAATGTTTCAAAATTCCAAGGGCATCAATATAGTGGTGGCATCTGTCAAGTAGACATACACTACTGGCTGGAAGTAGGTCACAGTTTATCAGACCTTACATCAGACCTTGGCCAAGGTGGTCAACACAAATATCAACCTGGAACTGGAAATTAGTGTGGCAATATCCATTCTGATGACAAAGTTTAGGAAGTTCCTGTTCATGGGTAACTTGTTAAAAAATGACATAAATATAGATCTATATATTCTATTCAATCAAGTGTAATGCTTTTAACTGATTGCTAAGTTGTCAGGCACAAATAGGTAAGGTATTTATATCTAGGTTCTTAATGAAGCTTCTTTCGGCCTAAGGGTATTGTAGGAAAAACCTCCCAGACATCAGTACCCATGAACTGGACAGTTTTACAATTTCTGTTATAACATTTTCAAGAATGTATAAATAGGTGTCAACGTCAGAAATAAATGATGCTTTGTTGTCCATTTTTATATCTATAATGCTGGGGAAGTTGTGGCACTAAAAGACTGCACATAGGATTCAAAGCTTATATTACCCCTCAGGAAGCAACTTAGGCACCTGCTGATCTAAGAAGCAGCCCTACACAAAGATGAGTGTCAGAGGGAGGAAGTGACATACAGACTGGACTAATCTCCTTGTTTAGTTAGCTGTTTCATTGTCCTGGTTTCTGTTTAGCTTCTACCTATTGTACTATGAAGATTCCTTCAGCCAACCACATTTCATGAGCACTCCTTAGTATGTTTGTAGACAGCAAACATGTATCACCAGTAAGAAGTAAAGGCATGTGTTTTTTTCTTTAAATAAATTACATAAAAATGTATCCCTTTTATTCTAAAGTATTATACAGTGGCTTGCAGCTCATCAAAGAGTCACTACTAGATACTGTCAAAATAATTAAGCCATATTGGGCAACATTTATAGACTCTATGGTTTCATATGTCCTCTTTCCTGGCTTATCTTGGTTCTGTGTCTTGCTTCTTTATTTGCTGGCACAAGAACAGCTGAGTTGCCAATTTAAACTTGTACTTTAATCCAAAGAGTCATAGCTGTGGAGGAGCTCTTGCTACATTACCATGGTTGTCGATTTGACGTAGACATTGTTTTTCAGATGGCAGTTTCCGTCATTCGGCACCACGATGCCTGCCAATTTGCTATCAAGAGCAAGATGAGATGTCTGATCTGTCATCACCAGCAGCAATCTTTTAGCTTCTTTTCGCCATCCAATGTGACTCTTAAAATAAACATGTAATTAGATCTTGTACAATAACATGGATCTGGACTGTGGTCTTTGCCTCAAGTAAAGGATATGTTTGAGTTGACAAACATGAAGTCAGGCTAGAATGATGTGCCCATGTACAATGCTGCTTCATAAATAGCATTCACGTTTATTTCTCTAGCCTCTGTGTCACCACAGTCATTGGACCACACTTAGTTCCTGGCTAGAGATTGCTAGTTTCCACTGGAGAAAGAAAAAGCCAAGTTACAAGGCAGGGCCAGAGCGTGGTGTGAATGGGACTACAGGCCATTTATGACTTCTTGGAGTGTGAAGCAGGGAAAAGCAGCTTCATCAGAAAGGCCTGAGCCATGTACGCAAGCTACTCTTTCCTTTGTATATGTATGTCCCTCTCCCAATTTAGCCCCTCTGTCCCAAACACATACCAAAATTAGTAACATTGGGGACCATAAGAGGAGAAAGTATTCTTCTGTACTATGTTTTCACTCCATAAATCAAAGACAAAATAAAAACCTTGATTCTTGGAACATGTGGCATCTGAGCACTAAAACACACAACAACGATGCAACTTCTCACCTCACAGACAGCTGCCTGAAGCATGGCGTCGAACCCTCCTTCAGGGGTGTCTATGTTTCCAGAGATCTTTTGTCTGTGAACTGCTTTTTCAAACTCAGTGATGTTTTCTGTCAAAGACAGCACATGGATGTACCCATGGGGAGGCATACAGTCCAAATTGTAGTCACTAAATGGGAAAAGAAGAAGTGCAAAGTCTGTTTTGCTTTGCTTCATAAAGTTTCAGAATACTAATAACAGTAAAATTTGTGGAGATGGTAGGAGATAGAAGTAGAATATTTTTTGCCAGAGAAATTTTAAAACTCAAAAATCTATCAAATTAGATACAAGTTTAACATTGGTGAACATTTCCTTGTGAGCAGGAAATAGAGTTATAAGGTTTGATGTTCAAAAAAACAAAAAGGTTTAATTTTTTTTTAATGTAGGACAACTAAGGGCTTTTGCTATGCTGTGAATTCCTAAGAGGAGCATAAGAATTTGCAGAAATTTCCTATCAGAGTTTGCCACTGATAACTTTGCAAACATCAGTGACAAGGAAGAGAGAGGAGAAGAATACATTCTTCTATAATATGTTCTCACTTGAGAAATCAAAGAAAATGTAAAAATCCTAAATTCTTTGAGAGTGCTGAGAAATATGTTTGGGGAAATATTTTTGGAAATTTAGTTGAAATATTATATTATTTTTTAATTTCTAAAAATACAGCATTGCACTAATTTTTAAAGTGGTGCTTGTTGTTGATTATTGATGAGCTATCAAAATTCATTAAAACTGTTTTGACAATCCCATGATATCTCAGAAAGTAAGAACCACTCCTCAGGGTTATTCACCTTCAAGGAGAGACTCAGGAAGCTTCATTAGGAGATAAATCAGCCCTCCTCTGGTCAAACAGATAACAGAGTTATTTTGGTACATTGGAATGTGCAATGTACGATGAGTGGAGCAATTATAAAAATAGGACATGTATCAAAATAAAATGACTTCTGAAACCAGAACTATACAGATTTATTTCTCTGAATACTCAGCAGGCCAAAGGTATTATGTATGAGAACTTGTAACTTAGGTAAGTTCTCTTTTCACGCTAAGCATGTACTCTGTAGAATCCAAATCGCAAAATGATAAGAAAAAAGTCTCAGACATCAATTCCATCCTTTGACACTTTTCTGTGGGATAACTGAACTTTCTTTGAGGTCATGTAAGAGGAACATAATTAAACCCAATCACGACAGCAATAGTCAGATAGATGAACTACTGATAAGAAAAAGACTGTAAGTGTGTCAAACCTTAATTTCACCAATGTGGAATAGTCAGAAAGGAGAAATATAGAATATCCAGACAGGTAATCTATATGTGACAGCATGATTATTGGAAATTAATGCAAAGTGACTAATAAAAAGTAAGGGTTTTTTGTGGTGATAAATACTGGATAAATAATATTTGAAGAAATAACAAATTTAAAACCCAAGGTACAAATAAAAGTTTCAAATAGGAACAAACTTCTTCCTGAAAATTTTTTTATTCTTACTTAATAAGAAAAAATTATAAATTTTGCCAAGTTCTTTATATAGAAACAAACAAATGAGATTTTACAGGGAAAAATACATTTACTATTAACAACATCAAGCATTAGATACCTGCATTGATTATGAATCCTTTCAGGGTGGACACTAATATATGGTGAAACAGTTTTGTCCACATATGAGCCAAATCCAAGGCGGAAGTCACGGGAGAAAAATGCCATTTTTCTAGATAAATCATTTCCAACGGAGTTTAATTTTTCTATGTTATTGTGCATCGATGCTGATACATCAACCAGATAATAAAGATCCACAGGATATTTCTTCAGAGGATGAATTTTCAGCATAAAATTAGCTTCAGCTCCTAATTCAAAGAAAGAAAATGATGATATAGTCTTCATTTTATATATCGCAGGATATGCTGTCAATAATTTAGTTGCATTTTAGCACCATGAACAATTATCACAAATTTGCATATTATGAAGTTTAGAATATGCTTGAATAGTTATAAGGCACTTCAAAAATCAATCTATTAGACTCCAAATTCTACAATGCATTTCTCACAGTTCTATAGGCTTGACAAAGATGATAACAAATAGACCAGCTCGATATAATGTAACAGGATACCACCACACAAACCTGTGTGGCCTATTGCCCTCAGTAGCTAAAAAAGCACAGTGTCTCAAAAGGGTATAGATGGTATGCTTATGGAATGATTTGAGGCAAACCAGAAAGATAACTTAAGATGATTGAATGATGCAGGTGTAAATTCATTCTTTTGAGTTAAGGCATATTTATATATGAGATGAGAAACTCTTGTATGAACAGTATGTTAAACTTTTCAAAATAATAAGTATTTCATGAATGAATTAATTGATAAAGTTCTTCTCATCAGTTAGCGAATGAGACAGTGACCTAAAGAATCATACCAAGTGGTACCATGTTGAAGACCTGGAAGATGTCCACCTAACACATAATAGGGATTAAATAAATACTTACTGAAGAGGGATCACTGAGGTGAGGCTTTGGCCTTGATATAAATATGGCTTTGGCCTTGATATAAATATAAGTGGATGTGAAAAGAGAGTCACCCCAAGGAGAAACGGGGAGTGATTCCCAAGGACAACTGTCTGTAATGTTTAATTTAGTTCTCTGTTGCGTCATTTGATTCAAGGACTTGGACCATTCCCCTAGAGTTGGCAGGTCTGCTTTGAATTTAAAATATATTGGGAAAAGTAATTGTTTATAGTTTTAAACAATAAAGGAAATACTTTTAATTAATTAATTGTTCCTGGAGATTATTTTGAGTAGAAAGCATTTTTTTAAACATAAATTTGAATTAGTATACATAATTGATAGACAGGTATTCTTATTAAAGGAATCCCCAGATTGACCAAATCTTAATGAATGTAAAGTAGCAGTATTTTCTTTTAAATCATTTCACGAATCAAATGTTTTCAAAACCCCTTTAGTGTAATGCTCCTAGGGTTGTAGCTCAAGAGTTTGGAAGGAGAAGTCAGGTTTGTGTAGTCCAGCCCAGCCCATTCCCTCACCAATTCCCTTTAGACTCTGAGCTGTCTCCAGAGAACATTTATTCTGCTCAGTTTTGGGACTTCTTATGAACAAGCCTGTTCCTGTGAAGTGTTCTGCAATTTGGGTGGAGAAATTAAATTTAGGAGAATATTAGAAACTGGTATTCAGGGCCAGATTAATGAGAAATAGCACAACTGTGAAGCATAGTTTGTGGGACTTGAACTTGAGTATGTAATGAAGGGACTTGCACTTTAATGTGTAGTCAGGATTTATTTTTAATTTTTTAAAAATTTATTTATTTTTATATTGGGGATTATATTGCTTAACCACCAAGCCATGTCCCCAGTCTTTTCTATTTTTATTTTTTTAATTTTGAGACAGGGCCTCCCTAAGTTGCTGGCTTTGAACTTTTGATTCTTCTGCCTCAGCCTCCTTGTCAGCTGGGATTACAGGTTATGCACCATCATGCGTGGTGTGTGGTCAGGATTTTTCAAAAAGGTAGAAACGGTTTAGTTGATTTTTTTTAACTGTTGGTTTAGGTGTCTTGCTGAAGGCCTGAGGCACTGGCCACGTGGTAATTTTATTTTGGTGAATCACTGCAGTTTATGGTGACTGCCTAAACATGAATGGCTGTTTGTTTTCAAAGAGGTGTTACTACATGCAACAGATATTCATCATATTGCACAGGGGTCTCTAAGGTGTGGGTTGGTGACTTTAGCAGAAAGGAGGAGTCTGTGTAGTCTCAGCAAAGGGACAGTCCTTGGAGTCCTGTGCTATTCAGAGCATTCCAACCAAATACTAGCCACATGGGGACCTCAGCAAATGCCATCTGTTAATGGTCTAGGAAGCAAAACCTGTCTTTTTGGCCTCAGGAAAGAAGAAGCTATAAGGAAGTCTTATCAAATGCTCAGGATTTAAGGGTGTTGGTTTCCGTGGCTTGATTTTAGATTACACAGATGCTAGCCTTCACATAGGTGCCCTGGTCAGCCAAACTCTTCAGTGTGGACTGAAAGCTCAATAAGATGAGCTTTCAAGATAAGAATGAGAAAAGAGAATCTTTCCATACACAGGCCTTTTAGTCATTGCTAGAGAGAGCAATAATTGCTACTTTTACATGGCAAAGCTCCTGAGTTTCCTGTAACATTCTGGCTTTAAGTAGTCAGCTTAAGGTAGTTAGCTCTAGATAGGTTGACCCCAAATCCCACTTTGTTTGTTAAGAAGGAAATTGAAGAGGTCAAACTTGGATTACCACATCTTGCCCGGGAGCTTAAAACATTCCCCACAATGTGCTCTCAAGCTGGCCTTAGATTGGATAATTATATATGAGGGAGAAAAGTCTTGAAGACATGTTTTGTAGGCATTAGTATTCCACTGTAAGAGGCAGCAGAAGTACCTATTTATGGCAGGGTGAGTACTGTGGCCCTATGTAAAACACCAACATAGTTCATACTGGGGTACTACCAACACAGGGATCAAACACCAGGTGACATTAGAGAAGGATTGAACATATTGGCACAGAAAGAAACATACCTAAAAATATGGAAATGTCTGACTACCATCATCATGAGGCTATTAAAGAAGACAGCAGTGCCTTAGATGCTACTCCGAGAGAGGAGCTATGCAGAGCTGGACTGTGCTTGTGTATTCCACAAAACTGACATAGATTAGTTTTTAAAAACAAGAAAAAAAATTTACTATCCAGCTTCTAAACTACTGAGTTTCTGCCAAAGTCTTTGGGAACTGCCTTTGAATTGGAATATGCACTCAATTCTGAGAATATAATTTAGTTTATGGAAACTACTAAATGGCTTGAAATTGACTTGTTTATGAAGTGGGGTTGGTAAGGGGCAGTGATATGATAACCTGGTGCATCCAATTCACTATAAAATCTTCACAAAGTGAGACATAATTCTCTGCAGTGAAACTGAAATTGCATTAAACTGTTTAAATCTTGACAGAATTATTCCATCCCAATAAAAGGCAAAAGTCAAAGTTTAACTGAAATAAGAACCCGAGTCCTACCACAGCATCAAGAATTCACCTGAGATGAAAAAGTAGGGGATAACAAATTTGGGACTTAAATTTTAAAAAATTAACTCACATAGTCAGATATTTGATATCAGCCTTTGAATTTTCACTAAAGAAGGTGAATGCTGGATAACTTTGAATTTTAACAGAAACAAATAAATTTAGTTGTCAAATTTCTAATTTCTTAAGAAGTTTGTAATGATGATTTTTTTTGTTGTAATTTGTGGCATTTTAGAATTTTGTTATTTGACTATATTAAACTTTTCATGTAGTCTCATTATGGTACCATTTATAAACTATATTGGTCCATAGGCATAATTTGAAATGAGAAATAGAGTGTGAAATCTGGAAATTATTTAATTGAGGAAGTGCTATAATTCATGATTTCAGGATGTTTAGGCAAATCTTTACTTCCCACCATGTGTCTCCAGGATTGTGATCAAAGGATCTATAGTTGGCATGGTATTGTGGCCACATGAAAATGACAGAAGAACTGTCCTGATAGACCACTGCACTCTGCCATGAAAGAGCAATGAGTCCATCAATGCTTAAGGCTACATCCAATGGTTTAAAACAAAGAGACAGGGGAAGTTGGGGGAGGAGGGGAAATGAGTGCTCCCATTCTTGATCTTTCTTCTACAAGAATAACTCTTCTTCTAAACACTCATGCCTCCTTATGGGTAATATTTGATTTACAAGGTGACTTTATCCAAAGAATGATATTAATTTTCCATATTCCATATTCAATACCTTTCCATTATTTAAAACTACCAAGAGTATTCCATATCAGATATTACTGAATAGTTATATTCAGCTGGAATTCTTATGTAAATAAGGATAAACTTGATCTGAAGTGTACTCTATAAATATTTTCAGTCGTAAGGTATGATGGGTTAATATTTAGATTGAATTTTAATAGCAGATATAAGTCAATATGTCCTTTTAATTATAGTTGCTCTTGTTATTTTAGGGGTTTGGGCTGCTGAAAAAGAAGGGTGATAATTATTTATGTTTCTGGGATCTTTTTTTTTTAACCAATCTCACAAAGTACCAAGTAACTTCTACAATAAGGATTGAGATTCTGGCAATGACTAAGTTGTGTACTTGTCCATGCCAATTGCTACCATGGTACAAATACATCCTTATTTTCAACTGTTTTCTATTTTTGTAAAATAGGTAAATGTTAAAAATCTATTTGGGTGTGTGTTTATGCGTATGTCTTTAAATTATCATCAGATTCCTCTGGATGCAGCACTATTTTCCCTTTTTCCCCCATGGGATTTAAATCACAGTTTCTCACCAATTTTAGGACTTTGTTTTTCCATCATTAAACAGCCCATTCTTACCACTAAACATAGCTGAAGACTGGCTAAAGCCAACTATGAAGAAAGTAGTTACACCTGACTATAATTTGGGGCTAACCATGACATTTCCTCCTTGGTTTTTTTTTGTGTACTTTTTTTTTCTTTTATGGATCTAGACTTCTAAATACAAGGTGGAATCAGGTTATTTATAATCTTTTAGCATAAACTCATACTGCTGACACATTTAGGGGAGTTAGAGTAGAAATCTTGTAGCTTCTTCTTGAGTCAATTTCCTTATAATTCATTGAGTTAAATATCTGAAATGAATTCCTACAGTATATCACAACATGAGAAGAGATTCCTATTCATTCTAGCCTTTCTTGGATTTTGCCTGGATTATTTCCCATAGTCTCTTCATTTGTCTTCCTCTAGCGTGTCACGTTCATACAGTCATAACACCAATGAGTCCATCTTTTTAAAACTGAAAATTGCTCTGTCA